AGAAGGGTGGGGGGAGGGGGAGAAGGGTGGGAGGAGGGGGAGGGAAATGGGAGGCTGGGAGGAGGCGGAAACTATTTTTTTCCTTTTCTCAATAAAAAAATTAAAAAATTAAAAAAAAAGAAACAGAAAGAAATGGGTATGGTACATACCCATAACCCTACTGTGTAAACAGGTAACTGCTGGAACTTGTTGACAACCAGCCTTCCCAGCGAGAAACACAATCTCAAGGGAATAAGGCAGAGAGGTAAAGCAGGACACCCAACATGGAAGGCCAAAGCACACACATGCAACAGGCACGTTCTTACACATGCATGAACACACTACACGACAACTGGGCAAGTAGTAAGATAATTATTTGTTAAAAGGAGGAAAGTATATCAAAGGAAAGTAAAATACTAGAAAATCAGGGTCTTGTGGCCTTCAAGGCAGACTGAAGTGTGAACTAAGGAAGTCTGTGAGTCTCAAACAACAAAGGGCACTGTGACAATTCTGCAAGAATGGGAGGAAGAGGCAGAATGCAAGAACAAACAATTTCAGTGCCCCTGACTATCTATCCAGGCTGTTTTAGGAATTTCACTAGCAATAAATTCCATCCATTACGCATCTGTCAGGTACTGGGCAGAGAATTCATTTAGGTTAACTTGGCATTTGCAGAATTAACCCCAAACGTTTGATGTCAAGTTTCGTGGAGGTGAAGCATGACGTGTGAGCAGGTCAGTAACTAACACAGCTAAACTTGCGGCAGAAAGAGTCTGGCGGGAGAGCAAACCCAAGGGCAGAAAAGGATGTGTGTGCTAGTGCAACTCATCAACACTGCCAATCAACAGAAGCCAGCGAAGCCCCTCTGCTCAGCTCCAAACTCCGGACTATAATTTGCTTCCATGCAGACTCAGTTTATAATCAGTCTCTGTTGAACCATTTTTCACTTCCTGTTGTACTATCTATCACATTTTCAATTCTACAAATTCAAGAACCAAAAGATAAACTGAATGTCCATACATGGAGGTTATGAACTCCTAGGGGTGGATCTGGTGTCCAGCGTCCAGACAGGTCTATTCACATAAGACCAAGAAAAGCTTAAAAGAGGTTCTAAACACGCAAAAGTGAAGCCAAACGCAGCTTCCTAGTCTTATGTCTCTCCCAGAAGCTGCGGGACAGAACTACATCTCCCAGCCTGCCTCTGTGCTAGAGCCGCCAGTATGCCACGAGCTAACTGGCAGGTTTAAAGTTTTGCTCACGCAGACAGAATAGGTTACAGAGACACAGTAAAGCTGGTTCAGACAGAAAAACCTCCAAGCAGGTTATATTGTGTTTAACAATGTGCACAGGCTTAAGGAAAACAAATGGGTATAAACAGCCACAGGAAAAAAATAGTTTAAAAATGATAAAGTCTTCAAAGAGAGAGAAGTGTAATTTTTTTTAAAAATAAGCCATTAAGGAAAGAAAATACACAGGGAGTCTGGATCCTACATGGTGTCTTGTTAGCTCTGAATTTTTTAAGCGCTAATGAACAAAAAACAATAGCTGCTGAGAGACACTGGATTATAGAAACTACTCAGTTAAACTTTAAAATGTCTTCACATCAAAATGGAAGTCAGACAATGTGTTCTGTTGGGGTAGAGATTATGCTTTTGTTTCCACAGGGAACAAAAGGCTATGTGGATTCCTTCCTGACTAATAGAGATCAGATTTGTCAAGAGAAGAACTCCTTACAAGAATATCTTGGCTACAGACATGAAAGAGGGGAGGAGCCAAAAGGACTACAGAACAGGTGATATGGGAACATCTGAGACCGGATGAGACATGATAAATCTTGTTGGCTGCAGAGTCCTCAGGACTTATTATTACATGTCATCTTTTCATATGGCATGGATAGGGATTTATATTACACTTTGATTATACAGTCCAAACAGACTTATAAAGTTCAGAGATGCACCTTCTACCTGTTCAGACATAGAGCAGAATCTTTAACTGATTTGTACACAGCATACATTCCATACTTGTGTTAATGCAGATATGCATGCTACTATTTATTTATTTATTCATCCACCCATCC